GTTATAGTAAAATATCATCTTTTTCTTAGACAGGTTTATATAAGTGTCTTTTTCAGAACTTTTTCTTAGACAGGTTTATAAAAGTGTCCTTTTCAGTCAGCATCTTTCCCAAGAGACTATTGATAGGATGGATCAATGCAGTATTGCCCATGTTTTAAAGACCAGCAACAGACACAAACAATAACACAGAGACAACCATAGAGGATCCCCAAAATCATGGCCAACAGTCAGAAACTTTTTAAATGGACCAGATAGGAGTAACATCCCCTAAATTCCCTATACCCACTTAACTATGACTACTACATCAGTAGAACTACAGATGTCCTCACAAAGAAAGACAAGACATTCTCACAAAGGAGAATCAGAGGTGTAGAAGCAAGGGTCTCTGTGTGCATGTGGGAGGGGGGAGATTACCAGATGGCTAAAGTGACAAACCTTACTTCATTCAGTTTTCTTTTTTTCAAAGTGGACCAAGGGAGAGTAGCAGATAGTTCCCCATAGTAAAAGAGCTTTGGCAGCTGCTGGAACAATTCCTCTGTCCCTCCCTTTACTCACAGGAATAGATTTTCTAGTTCAACCCAAGGAAAATTCACCCAGCTTCTACCTTTTCAGTAGTTGGATCTCAACAAATTCATCTTGCATCATCAGCATGGAAGTGGGATTTCTTAGAGTGCCAGTACTGCACAAGAAAGCCAGAGTGAGGGCTCCTCTCAGGTCCCTTCTAAGTTGCCAATTCGTTTACAAAAACTCAATCCTTGTACCTATGCCAGTCCAATAAAAGGACACAGTTTTAAGAAAAAGGGGGGAAAAAAGTTTTATTGCTTTGCTACCAAAGGAGAAACGCAGGAGAATCCTGTCCAGTGACTACGATTCTTCCCATCAGGGGGAAAAGAGTGTTTTTTTGTTGTTATTATTGTTGTTGTTTGTTTGATTGATTGATTTTTTATTAATTTTTATATATGACAGCAGAATGCATTACAATTTATAATAAACATGCAGAGCACAATTTTTCATATCTCTGGTTGTACACCATTTGTGTTCACCATACATGTACTTTGGATAATGATATCCATCTCAATCCACCATCATTTCTAACCCCATGCCCCCTCCCTTCCCCTCCTACCCCTCTGCCCTATCTAGAGTTTGTCTATTCCTCCCATGCTCCTCCTCCCTACCCCACTATTAATCAGCTCCTTATATCAGAGAAAACATTCAGCATTTGGTTTTTTGGGATTGGCTAACTTCACTTAGCAATATCTTCTCCAACTCCATCCATTTACCTGCAAATGCCACAATTTTTTTCTCTGGTATTGCTGAGTAATATTCCATTGTGTATATAAAAAAAAGAGCGTTTTCAAAGAGGTCATTCAAAAGCTACATCCCAGTTGTGCCCTGATTGGGATGGGGGGGGGGGGACGTGTCAAAATTCACTTGCTAATTTGAGAGAAGAAGATAAAACACATTCAAAATAAGTCTCAGTGGCAGAGCATCAAGTACAATATTCAAAGCATGATGCAGACCACTGTTATATCTTATGTCTCAAATGTATTAAAATATATCCACCTCCTAAGGCATTTATCATTTCATTATCTAAAACCACCAAATTTGTTTTTCTTTTAGGTTACTAGGGATTGAACCCAAGGACACTTTACTACTGATCTCAGCCCCAGCCCTTTTGACTTTTTACTTTTGAGAGGGTCTCAACTATTGCCCATGCTGGCCTCAAACTTATGATCCTCGTAGCCTCAGCTTCCTGAGTCTGTAGGATTACAGATGCATAGCACATACTGGGCTAATTTTTTTCATGAGATTTATTTTCTTGAATTCCTAGAGAGAAATATGATTTATGTAGTTTTTCTAATTTCCCATGGACTTCTCTCCTGTGACACACAATAGTTTGTTTCTGAAGACTTCCTGGCTCTGTCCTTCTCCCCACTTTTGTAGGGTCACCTCTCTCTTGACCATTACTGTGACTGTATCCTGCATTGAGTCTGTCCATCAGCAGAAGGAGAACATTATGACAGCTCAGAGGGAATAACTGTCACTGACTCACCAAAACCTAGTTATTCCCTTCCAGTGGTGTATACTTTCTGATTTGTTTAGCTTTAAAGTTATTTTTTATTATATGTGCATTTTAAATTATTTCATCTCTGATTACTTTATTTCTACTTTTTTATGTCTAAGTATTTTATTCTGATAACTAAAATTTAGGTTATAATTACTTACATTATTCATGAACTATCTTTGTTTTTGTGTTATTTATATTTGAATCGTTTGACTTGAGTCATTCAATTTCATTTCATTGATATTTATTTATTAATAGTACTAAAAATGGAACCCAGGGGCTCTTTACACTTGAGCTACCTTCCCAACCCCCTACATCTCTACATTTCCAGCCCCCTACATCTCCTTCTCCTTCTCCTCCTCTTCTTCTTCCTCCTCCTCATCTTCTTCTGCTGACAGGTTCTTGCTAAGTAGCTGACTCTGATCTTGAACTTGTAAGGCTCCTGCCTCAATCTCCCAAGTCACTAAGATTACAGATGATGTCTGGCTGATTTTGCAACTCTTAAGCCACCTTCTCTCTACTGCTCCCCCTCCCTTGTCCCTAGGGGTGGCAAAAATCACTGTTGCTGTTGCTTATACCAAACTCCTGTTTTGGGCTTTCTCATGCCCTTATACCCAACCATACCGGGATAATTAGTTCTTTTTTTCTTTCTTTCATTCTTTTTTGCAATACTGGAGATAGAAACCAGGAAAACTCTACAACTGAGCAACATCTTCAGCTCTTGGTTTTTTTGTTTGTTTGTTTGTTTTTGTTTTTGTTTTGAGATAGGGTGTCCATAAATTGCCAAGTCTGTCCTCAACTTGTGATCCTCCTCTTTCGGCCTCCCAAGTTGCTGGGATTACAAGCGTGTATCACTGCATCTAGTTGAATATTGGTTCATTTGCAAATAAGTACTCTGAAAACATAACAACTTAAGTGTATCGGCTCCAAAGCCGTACCTTATAATATCCATATAAAGTCATGATGACATTCCTTTTTCATCTGTATTAATCCTAGTATTCTCCCAATTTATGACACTGTTAATTTCAATGACATTTTTCATATGTAATATTTTGACTTGTTTTTTCTTGTGTTTTTTCTTTGTCTTAGATCTTATTGCTGATAATGTTTTTCTATATTCATAAGGATATTTATTCTGCTTATTAAAGATGTGTTGTCTTTGTCAGCACAATACAGTTTCTGTGATATTTCCCATGCAATCATACTTCTGAGGTGGGTAGTGATTGTGGTACCTGTGTACATGTTCACCTGGTTGGCAGCTGCTCTTTTCCTCAGTCTGGTAACATGGCTTGTAAAAGGCTAAAGTCCTGAGGAGCTGAAGGGGAGGGCCCCAGGCACCAAGGCACTTCCCTTCCCTTCTCCTGTACCCTGTTATCTGCTGGGCAACTTCATAATCAAGGCTTTAAATTAAAACCTTGGAAGAGAGACTGGGCTTGCAGGTCAGTGGTAGGATAATTGCTTAGCTTATGTGAGGCCTTGGGTTCCATCCCTAACAACACAACACACACACACACACACACACACACACACACACACACACACACACACCTTAGAAGAAATCATAGTGGGGAGTAAGAGTGGAATAGGAGAACAGCCTTCTTGAGGCCCATCCTCCACTGCCCTACTCTCACCCCCAGCAACAGCCATCTCTAAGTTCTTATTTGGGTGAGTTTTTGCAGTCCACATTTTCTTCTCTCCTCCACAACTCATCCAGGCTTGATTTTAGAGAGAGGGCCAGCAGCATATAGGAAGGCCTGAAAGCCTCCAATGTTGAGTTTGGTGAAAGTTATGCAAGGGAAACCCCTAGATCCTGGCTCACCAGTCCTGAAGATGTGTTCTCCACGCTGACCTCCATCTTAGTATATGGGAACCTCCCTTTCATCCAACCAGGGGGATTCCTACACTGCACAGGGGGCAGGGTAGCTGATGCCTCTAAAATGTGGCCTCCAAGGGAAAGTCAGACAGGGCCTGTGGCCTCTGGGAATGACCTGCCCTAGTGGGAAGAACAAACTCTTGTGGTCTTTTTTCAGATCTTGGTGTGAAATCCTCCTCAGGTTACTACCTACCTGACCTCAGACAAGTAACTGAACCATCCAGATCTGTAAAAATAGATTGCACCTGGCTAATAGAAGTGAGTGCTGAGGTGCATCCCAGGTAGCAGGGAGTGGGGCTAAAGCTGTGATCCAGTAGGTCTGCAGAGAACACTAGGTGTGGGAGCCTGCCTGCACTGTTAGAGGAGGCCTGAGGGACTTGGGCAATCAGATAACCCCAAGCTTCCCACGGGAACATGCCTGTTGAGGGACAAGGCTGAAGTTTGTGTGTGGGTGAACACCAGGCCAGGCGGCATGAGCCACCATGGGCAGAAGATAAGTGGCAACGGGAACTGTGGGTGGCCAGTGCTCCAGGGGCCAGCTGAGTGCTAGGCCAGCAAGTCCTGGGCCTTCTAAGCCTCAAACACACAAGCTGAAGCAAGCCCAGAGGCACTGGGGCCCAGGCTGATGGAGATATGGGGAGGGAGAGGTGGTGGGTACAGGGGCAACAGGGCTCCCAAGATTGCTGACCCAGACACAGACCTCAGGGCCCTACGCCCTTTACTTGAAACTTCTCCAGAAGAGCCTCTGTGACCTGTGGGCCTGGAAGACACTTGCTCATACTCAATGGGGGCAAATCATCCAGCTCCAGGATCATGAGAACTTCCCCCACATACTGAGGTTCCAACCCCTGCACTGGGGCTCCTTCTAGAAACCACATACCCTTGAGGGTAAGACTGGGGCCTGAAGACAGTGACAAAACTCACATATGGCCAGCCCAGTCCCCTGGGTGTCCCCTCACCTGTCCCTTCCCAGGGAGGAGTGAGGCCTTCTGCCACTAAGCAGCTTGAAGCCCAGCAGGGCCTGAGGTATGGCACTGACAGGTTCAAAACAGGAGCCAGAAGTTCCTTGGGTTGTTTTTATTTCATCAGGCCTGGGCCTTAGATGGACAGGACAGCCCAGAGATGGAAGCATGGAAGGACAGTACAGAGCTCAGCCAGGGGCCTTGGGGAGGAAAGCTGGGTGTGGACGTGCTGCGAGCCTGTCACTGAGCACTGACCAAACTCAGCCACAGCAGGAGGAACTGCGCAGACAGCAGCACAGTCATCCCGGGCTTCAGGACAGTTTCACTAGATACATCAGTGGACAGAGCAGGTGCTTTTTCTTCAGGAGGAGCCTTTCCAGGATCGGGCGCAGGATTCTCCTTCATGTGCTTCTTAATCCAGCCGGCAAAGTAGCTGATATTGGTGAAGACACTGGGACCAACAGGGGGTTGACATATGTGGCTCCAACTTGATAGTCCAAACAGGTACCAAACACCTTCCAACGGGCAGACAAGGGGACCCCCAGAATCTCCCTGAGGAGAGAGACAAAGGACATGGGTAGTGGGACCAACACAGAGGGACAAGCACTGCCCAGGACAGAGAGGACAATGTGGACATAAGGGGTCTCCACTGTCTGAATAGTGTTCATCAGAACCACGGGGAAATTTTTTTAAATCCAGGTACAGGAGAAACCTCCTGGATCAATATCTCCAGGCCAGGACCCTAGAGACCCATTCCAGAGCTGGCACTCACAGACCTATGAGAAGGCACTGGGGGATGCTAGGAGCCACAGTGTGCCCTCCACCTTTTCAACCACATGGAAGATGGCTTTGAGGTCCATGGGGTGGCTGGGTGGCTGGCCTGGAGGCCTGGCCCAGGGACTTTGGTAAAATCCTCTGTCCAACAGAGAATCTAGGCCTTTGTCTTTGACTTGATAAGGTCTCTAGTTTGAATTCCTTGACTGAGCTTCTTGAGAAAAATGCCAAGCTGTTGGATGTGCTGAGTGGGGGAAAGAAGTGCTGCTAGGCTCAGCTGGAACCACAGGAAGCTCCAGGGTCTCCAGAAGAATGCTGGCTACCATAAGTATGCCAGGCCCCCGGAAGGGAAGATCCCTGGTGTCACAGGTGAAATGGCTTTATCTCAAAAAAACAGAAGCTCAAAGAAACATATTGCCCTCCAGCCATCTGTTGAATAATACCCCAGGGGAGTCTCTATGCAAGAGGTGGCTTGATGTGGCAAGTCCACTTGTCCACACACCTGCGTACATGACATGTAGAAAGGGGGCTACACAGGCAACAGGAAGAGTCCCAGAAGGTCTAACTGGACCATCAGAGAGCTTCTCTGAGGAGACTGGAGGAGCAGTGAGGCCTGAGTGTGGTTGGAGACAGGCAAGGACATGGAAATTCTCAGCAGGGAGGTGAGGAGACCATGTGTAGATTCTGAAAGGATGTTCTGGGGCTGCTGGGGCCAGACCAGCAGCAGGGCTCTGGAACTGGTCAGGATATAGCTGTGGAAGAAGGGGGGGCAGTGTCTGGTGGGAAATGGTCAGCATACAGGATTTTCCATGTCGGATCCCCTCTTTATCCAGGTTCAAATAAGGCAAGAACAGCAGTCTGACCATTGAGAAGAGGTTGGGTCTTGGTGTCCAGAGGAGGGGTGAAGAGTGAAGGGGAGACAGGAGGGGCCTCCTGCAACGTGTGACAGACAGAAGTGAGGATCCAAATCAAGAGAGCAAGAAAGAGCATATGCAAAAATGCCAGAGGTGAGGCCTGCTGAGAAGTGAGGACTGAGTAGCAGGAGGAGGTTGTGGGGTCAGGAAGTGAGCATGTGAG